TATAGTAATTCATCCCCCATAGTAATCCATCCCCCATATAGTAATCCATCCCCCATATAGTAATCCATCCCCCATAGTAATTCATCCCCCATATAGTAATTCATCCCCCATAGTAATTCATCCCCCATATAGTAATTCATCCCCCATAGTAATTCATCCCCCACATAGTAATTCATCCCCCATATAGTAATTCATCCCCCATAGTAATTCATCCCCCACATAGTAATTCATCCCCCACAGTAATTCATCCCCCACATAGTAATTCATCCCCCATAGTAATTCATCCCCCATAGTAATTCATCCCCCCTATAGTAATTCATCCCCCCTATAGTAATTCATCCCCCATAGTAATTCATCCCCCATAGTAATTCATCCCCCATATAGTAATTCATCCCCCATATAGTAATTCATCCCCCATATAGTAATTCATCCCCCCATATAGTAATTCATCCCCCCTATTAATTCATCCCCCACATAGTAATTCATCCCGCATATAGTAATTCATCCCCCATATAGTAATTCATCCCCCGAATAGTAATTCATCCCCCATAGTAATTCATTCCCCATATAGTAATTAATCCCCCATAGTAATTCATCCCCCATATAGTAATTCATCCCCCATATAGTAATTCATCCCCCATATAGTAATTCATTCCCATATAGTAATTCATCCCCCATATAGTAATTCATCCCCCATATAGTAATTCATCCCCCATAGTAATTCATCCCCCATATAGTAATTCATCCCCCCTATAGTAATTCATTCCCCATATAGTAATCCATCCCCCATATAGTAATTCATCCCCCATATAGTAATTCATCCCCCATAGTAATTCATCCCCCATATAGTAATTCATCCCCCATAGTAATTCATCCCCCACATAGTAATTCATCCCCCCATATATAGTAATTCATCCCCCATAGTAATTCATCCCCCACATAGTAATTCATCCCCCACAGTAATTCATCCCCCACATAGTAATTCATCCCCCATAGTAATTCATCCCCCCTATAGTAATTCATCCCCCCTATAGTAATTCATCCCCCATAGTAATTCATCCCCCATATAGTAATTCATCCCCCATATAGTAATTAATCCCCCATAGTAATTCATCCCCCATATAGTAATTCATCCCCCATATAGTAATTCATCCCCCATAGTAATTCATCCCCCCATAGTAATTCATCCCCCCTATTAATTCATCCCCCACATAGTAATTCATCCCCCATATAGTAATTCATCCCCCGAATAGTAATTCATCCCCCATAGTAATTCATTCCCCATATAGTAATTAATCCCCCATAGTAATTCATCCCCCATATAGTAATTCATCCCCCATATAGTAATTCATCCCCCATATAGTAATTCATCCCCATATAGTAATTCATCCCCCATATAGTAATTCATCCCCCATATAGTAATTAATCCCCCATAGTAATTCATCCCCCATATAGTAATTCATCCCCCCTATAGTAATTCATTCCCCATATAGTAATTCATCCCCCATATAGTAATTCATCCCCCATATTAATTCATCCCCCATATTAAGTCCCCAAGTCCCCCCTGTGTCAATTCACTTACCTTTACTCCGCGCTTTCCTCTCGCCGTATTCCCGCGCCGTTCCGGTGTAGCATGAAAATCTGTCTCCTATGAGGATCTGTCCCCCCTCGACGTATCTGCGCATGTGCCAGTTTCAGGCATTAGCAGCCGATCGGCGATCTCCGGCACATGCGCAGATACGTCGAGGGGGACAGATCCTCATTGGAGACAGATTTATCATGCTACACCGGTCTTCAGGGCGGACTGTGAGAGGAGCCTAGCGGGAGCCTAGCTCCGCGGGCCGGATTAAAAGGTCCGCCGGGCCGTATACGACCCGCGGGCCGTAGTTTGCCCATTGCTGCGCTAGACAGAGCCTTAGACCCATTGTTTTCCATATGGCACCAAGCAAGCACAAATCTGGATGCTGGGAAACAAAAATGTCCCAGGACCAGAGGTTCCCAGCACTAAGCACGCATGGGAGCCTTTTGAAGAGCCCATGGTTTGCCCAGCTGGCCAGAGGCTAATTTCTCCTCGAGTCTGTTATTATTCATAATGAATCAGTACAAAGATGCTGTCTGTTTGTTCGCCCAGGGATGTGCATAACGTTTGCATCTATTCTATAGGTATCCTGACCTATATTTGTAACCAATTAGGTAGCCATTGCTTAAGAGACCCTCATTACCTCAGCCTGACAATCACAAGTTCCAAATCAGGTGCACATACTATATAACTAACCATCCTCAGACCCATGACACCAACCAAGTACAGATCTGGATGCTTACAGACACAAATGTCACCAGGAGTTCCCAACCCTGATCCCTGATGGGAGCCCATGGAGATCCCAGGGTCTGCCGAGCTGGCCATAAGGTGATACAGGTATCTCCCAAAGCCTACCATCACTCATGTTAGATCAAAACAAAGATGCTCTCTGTTGTTTAGCCCAGGGAGAGTATAATCAGGTACCCTGCCTCACACTTGTAGCAGTTGGGCAACTCTTGTTTAGGAGAGTCTCTTTTTCCTGTCTTGCCAATTACACGTACCAAATCAAGTGCACAAGTGCATAAGACCTTAACACAAGACCCAACCTCAGTCCTACAGCTTCCCTAGGACACCAAATAAGTACAGATCCTGGATGCTGGGAACAAAAAATGTTCAAGGACCAGAAGATGATAACACTGACCATTCATGGTAGTCTGGGAGTCACTGAAGAGCCCATGGTTTGCTTAGCTGGCCATCAGGTAGTTTCTCCCAAAGCCTGCCATCACTCATGTTAGATCAGAAAAAAGATGATCTCTGTTATTTAGCCCAGGGAGTGTATGATGTTTATATCTATTCCGTAGGTACCATTCTGCGTATTTGTAGCCAACTGAGCAAAATGTTGTCAGCCTTGGTTTGGAAGAGTCTCTTTTTCCTGGCTTGCCAATTACAAGTGCCAAAGCAGGTGCGCATCCTAAATAATTTAGACAAGAGACACAGATCTATGATATGGTGATCCATGGTTCACCAAATATGTGTAAGTACAGATCCTGGATGCTGGGAACCAACACATTTCAAGGACCAAGCGTTCCCAACACTGACCACTCATGGAAGCCTGGGAGCCCCTGGGGAGTCCACAGTTTGCTTAGCTGGCTATCAGGCATTGTCTCCCAAAGCCTGCCATGACTCATGATAGATCAAAAATACTTGTCTTCAACTGATTGTTCTAAAAGCCAAAACACAAATACTGTTGATTTTACAATTGTAGACTTTCAGGAACTTCCTGCCAACAATAGTTACATCATAAGATTCTTCCAATGAATCCCATTGTTTGGCGGCCAAACTGTCTTACCTCGTGGATGGGCCCTGCTAGGAAGGTCTGGATTTTGGCCTCTTGAGGTGGGCAGATTGAGTTGAGCGTAATGGACGGGATCAGCCATCGCCAAGTATCTGAGCCACTGAATGTTCTCTTAGTTCTGGTTACAGAATACAGTTCAGTGTAAGTAGGGCACCAGCCTGTCACTGACGGAAAATGAGGCCCTCATATCTGAACTGGGACAGGCTGTCCTAACAGATATCAGATGATGCAATCACCATATCCGGGTTGGCTGCTGAGCTATTTACAGCACAAAACCACATAAAAACCACAATGCAATCTGAGACCTCATGAATCTCTGGAAACAGACTGAAGATAGAATCCACAGTCACAGGATGGGATTCTAAAAGGTCTAAATGTCTCCATTTTTGTTGGACATATCATTTTGGCTGTTTATGAAGCTGTTTCACCTCTCTGCTCATTAGTCCATTCGGCAAATGTTATTTTGTGGATTTCCCCAATTTATAAACATGGTCAGTTTACTTTTAATGTACTCCCTCTAAACCTGGCACAGTCCATTGATCTCCCTGATGGGACCCCTAAAAAGGAACTTTTCATCAGTTGGCATTTTTCGGCCCCCTGCTGACCCGTGCTGTGCTTGGACACAGCATGAGTATGGCAGCAGATTGGCTGTGTCCAATCACACAGGGAACAGCGATCTGGCTGTTTCTTCTCCCTGAAAAGCGGGGAGAAAGAAAAGCCAGATCAGACTGTAAAATCAGCACACATTACACATTTTTAGGCACACAGTTAACCCCTTGATTGCCCCTAGATGTTAACCCTTCCCAGTCAGTGTCAGTACAGTGTCAGTGACCCTCCTTGTCAGTGTCTGTTGGAGCCGGATTGCCTACCACCCTCTCACAGTCCCACTATATTGTCTATAGCTGCATAAATGCCAGTATATATATATACACCATAGTTTGTAGATGATGTTGTCTTTCTCACAAACCAATTAATATATACTTATTGGGATTTTTTTTAACCAAAGACAAGTAGCAGAATATATGTTGGCCTAAATTTAAGAACATTTTGATTTATATGATATGTTTTTAGAAAGTAGAAAATATTGGGATTTGTTTTTTCAAAATGTTTTGTATTTTTAATTTATATAATAAAAAAGTAGAAAATATTGGGATTTGTTTTTTTCAAAATGTTTTGTATTTTTAATTTATATAATAAAAAAAAAAAAACCCAATGTTGCGCAAATACCACCAAAAGAAAACTCTATTTGTGGTAAAAAAAATAATATAAATGTCACTTGGGTGCAGTGGTGCATGACCGTGCAATTGCCAATTAATATAGCGCAGTGCTGAATAGCAAAAAATGGCCTGGTCATGAAGAGGGTAAAACTTTCCAGACCTCAAAAGGCTAAATATACACTTTTTAGGTTTAGCAATTGTGTATGGAAACATTTTAAAGACTATATGTGCGTAATATGTTATGTCTAAGGAGCGTTACAAAGGAATCCACACTTCAATTTTTTATTAATCACTTCCCGTCTGCCCTCTAGCAGAAATACTGCTACAGCGTGGCAGGGCTGCGCAAAATCACACATATATATTTAGCATTTTCACCCTACCCGTACCACCATTGGTGGCTACAGTTGTTGGGCACCGGGCCCTGGACGGAAATTCCCTGCTGGCACCCAGCGATTGCTGAGGAACACTGACAGGGGAGAGGTCTGTATGTAAACAATACAGATCTCTCCCCTGTCAGCTCCAGCATGTATAGCAGAGCCATACAAAGCAGCATGCTTACATAGAAAAACGCACCCAGCACACAGGTAACCCTTCAATTGCCCCAGATGTTAACCCCTTCCTGCCCAGTGCCATTAGTACAGTGTCAGTGCTTTTTATTAGCACTGATCACTGTATTGGTGTCACTGGGGATGTCAGTGACGCCAAGTCAGTTCCCCCCAGTGTCACAATGCCCGCCGCAGTCCTGCTATAATTCGCTGATCACTACCATTACTAGTATAAAAAAATTTTTTAAAAACCTCCAGTCTATATATCGCCCATCAACCGCTATAACGTTCACGTAAACCAATTAATTTACACGTATTGGGATTTTTTTTAGCAAAGACACGGAGCAGAATACATTTTGGCTTAAGTTTATGACGAAATTTGATTTTTTTTTATTTTTTTACTGGACGTGTTTAGTATCTAAAAGTAAAAAATATTGTTCTTTTTTCATTTTTTGTCGGTCTTCTTTTTCATTATAGCGCAAAAAATAAAAACTTCACAGGCAATCAAATTATTATTATTATACAGTATTTATAAAGCGCCGATAGTTGGCTCAGCGCTGTACATTACAGAGGGGGACAGAACATGTGACAGAACAATAACAATACAATGCAAAACATGAGGGAAACAAAAGACATACATTTCATTTGGGTGCAGTGTTGCATGACCGCGCAATTGTCAGTTAAAACACAGCACTGAAATGCAAAAAATGGCCTGGTCAGGAAGGGGGGGGGGGGGGAATCCTCTGGAGGGCGAGGGGTTAATGTGGTCTGTTCCCTGGTTGATAAGGTGCTTGTAGTCCTTTTCCCATCTGTCTAAGCCTAGACCAGCATTTCACAAGGAATGGGGGGGGCAAGTCAGCTAAAATGTTCCAGGCTAGTGGATAAGTGATGGGAGATTGAAAAAAAGTGTATCTGTCAAAGTAGCCATTTCCTTGCTAGCTGTGTTTTCGGATGCCGTGGTAGGAAGAGGAGTACCCTGTCCATCCTCATAGCTGGCTTTGGACATCACATATAGGATGAAGATAGGACAAAGTACGACATGTACAGTTGTGTTCAAAATAATATCCGTGTGATGAAAAAAAAGTGACTAAAGCTGAAAATCCTTCTAATACTACTTTTATTTCCATCCACACAAATGCATTGGGAACACGACACATTCTATTCCAAATCACAACATGAAGAAAAAAATACATCAAATTTGTGTTGTTCCTCCAAAAACATTGAAGAAAAGTGAATATTAGACAAAAAATGGCCGTGTTTGTATTCTTCTTTACAAACTCAAACATTCACTATATAAACTGAGAAATGTTTGAAGATTTTGCTTTCCTTTGAATGACTTCATGAATATTTGGTTGTAGTCGCACTGTTTCTGAGAACTGCTGTACATCTGTGTTGCATGGAGTCCCCCAACTTCTGGCCCCTGTGATCAGGTATTCCAGCCCAGGATGATTGGACCACATTCCACACTTCTTCTCTATTTCTTGGTTTGGCCTCAGAAACGGCATTTTTGATGTCACCCCACAAGTTTTCTATTGGATGAAGATCCGGGGATTGGGCTGGCCACTCCATAACGTCCATCTTGTTGGTCTGGAACCAAGATGTTGCACGTTTACTGGTGTGTTTGGGGTCGTTGTCTTGTTGGAACACCCATTTCAAGGGCATTTCCTCTTCAGCATAAGGCAGCATGACCTCTTCAAGTATTCTGATGGATTCAAACTGATCCATGATCCCTGGTATGCGATAAATAGGCCCAACACCGTAGTATGAGAAACATCCCCATATCATGATGCTTGCACCACCATGCTTCACGGTCTTCACAGTGTACTGTGGCTTGAATTCAGTGTTTGGGGGTCGTCTGACAAACTGTCTCCGCCCACTAGACCCAAAAAGAACAATCTTACTTCCATCAGTCCACAAAATGTTGCGCCATTTCTCTTTTAGGCCAGTCAATGTGCTCTTTGGCAGATTGTAACCTCTTCAGCACACGTCTTTTTCCCAACAGTGGGACTTTGCGGGGACTTCTTGCAGATAGCTTGGCTTCACATAGGGGTCTTCTAATTGTAACAGTCCTCACAGGGAACGTCACACCCTTCTTTCATCTTCCTGGAGCTGATTGTTGGCTGAGTCCTCACAGGGAAACGTCACACCTTCTTTCATCTTCCTGGAGCGGATTGTTGGCTGAGTCCGCCCCATTTTGGCTATTCTTCTATCCATTCCAATGGTAGTTTTTCGCTTTCTTCCGCGTCTTTCAGGTTTTGGTTGCCATTTTCAAGCATTTGCCATCGTTTTAGCTGAGCAGCCGATCATTTTCTGCACTTCTTTATATGTTTTCCCCTCCAACCCACTTTTTAATCAAGGTACGCTGTTCTTCTGAACAATGTCTGGAACCACCCATTGTCCTCAGAATTTCAGAGAGAAATGCACTGTAACCAGCATGTCCAACATTTGCTGCCTTCCTTCCTTAAATAAGGGCAATAATTGCCACCTGTTTTTCAAAGAATGAATGACCTCACTAATAGAACTCCACACGGCTATTATTGTGAACACGCCCCTTTCAATGAGTGATTCAATGACACAGAATCAGCAGCATGCATGTCATGACTCTGTCGGGTCTGTTGGATTTCTATGACTCCACTACACCTGCTAGGAAATTATTTGCCATGTAGAAATATCATTTCCACCAAAAAAAACAGTGATTGATCCGGTTAGTGATGTCTGACGGCTAGTATTTTTAACACAACTGTACCTCATCCCCTGGCAAACAGAACATACATTGCCTTGAAAAAGTCTTCCTTCCCCTTGAAATGTCCCCCATGTTGTCATGTTACAATGTATTTATTGGGATTGGATGTGATGGACCGACACAAAGTGGCACATAATTGTGAATTGGAAGGAAAATGAGAAATGGTTTCCAACATTTGTGACCAATAAATCTGTGAAAAAATGTGGCGGCATTTGTATTCAGCCCCCTTTACTCTGATACCCCTAACTAACTGGTCTGAGAGGCGGCCAAGAGGCCTACAGCAACATGAAAGGAGCTGCAGGAATATCTGGCAAGTCCTGGCTGTGTGGTCCATGTGACAACAATCTCCTGGATTCTTCATATGTCTGGGCTATGGGGTACAGTGGCAAGATGGAAGCCTTTTCTTACAAAGAAAAACATCCAAGCGAAACATCCGGTGAAAGTTTGCAAAAACACATCTGAAGTCCCCCAAAAGCATGTGGGAAAATGTGTTCTGGTCTGATGGAACCAAGGTTGGACTTTTTGGCTATAATTCCAAAAGATATGTTTGGTGGAAAAACAACACTGCACATCACCAAAAGAACACCATACCCACTGTGAAGCATGGTGGTAGCAGCATCATGCTTTGGGGCTGTTTTTTCTTCAGCTGGAACTGGGGCCTTAGTCAAGGTAGAGGGAATTATGAACAGGTCCAAATACCGGTCAATATCGGCACAAAACCTTCAGGCTTCTGCTAGAAAGATGAACATGAAGAGGAACTTCAGCTTCCAGCATGACAACCACCCAAAGCATACAACCAAATCAACAAAGGAATGGCCCAGTCAGAGCCCAGACCTGAATCCGATCGAACATCTGTGGGGAGATCTGAAGAGGGTTGTGCACAGGAGATGTCCTCACAATCTGACAGATTTGGAGTGTATTTGCAAGGTAGGAAGAGCGGGCAAATATTGCCAAGTCAAGATGTGCCGTGCAAAAGGGGCTTCAACAAAGGATTATTGTAAGGGTGTGCACACTTATGCAACTATATTATTTTAGTTTTTTATTTTTACTTCCCTCCACCTAACAGATTTCAGTTTGTTGTTCAATTGAGTTGTACAGTTCAGAGGTCACATTAAAGGCGGAAAAAGTTCTGAAATGATTTATCTTGGTCTCATTTCTTCACAGAAACCTGACATTTTAAGAGGGGTGTGTAGACTTTTTATGTCCACTGTAAGTGATAAATTGTAAAATGTATTGTGACTCCTGTCCTGGCCCCGGAGGACTGACTCGATTGTGTTTCTACGTTTAGGTTTCCTCTGTACCTCCGGCCAACCTCTTCATTTGTTTTTTTGTGGTTTCTGCAAAGTTTCTGCATGCAACTTCATCTTCTGCGTCAAAGGTGTAATGGGCCTTAATAAGGGCAGCGATGTTTGATCTCAGCAGACAGGAACGTTTGTGGCCTGTGAGGTGACCAGTAAGAGCGAGCGGAGCACAAATGGAAACTTTACTGGTATAAACTCTCACAGTTGGTAAAGTGTGACTAGACTTGTAAATAAAGGTCAACTTTGGCCAAATAACGACATTAATATGTAGATGTTTAAGCCTTCAGATCTGGTAAGAATGTTATAGAGGAAACCCTATGCAGAAAAACAAGAAAAAAAAAATGCAGGGTCCTCAAAGTTCCATACCAGAGTCTTATCTAAGCAGGCAGCCTGGAGGGACAGGAAAGGAAGGGGGAGCATCCAACCCCTTCCTCCTGAACCATACTTGCTCACATACCCTCAACATAGGGTGCCTTTCCATGGTTTACCCCTCCCCCCTACCAAACCACCTTGTATCCATGTTGATGATGACAAGGACTTCTTCCCCATGACCCTGTCTTAGTGGTTGTGGGGGTCTGTGGGCAAGGGGCTTGTTAGAATCTGGAAGCCATCTTTAAAAATAAGAGGACCCCCCCCCCCCCCAGATACATGATGCGCCTACAGGTGTACATATGCACAACAGCATTTTTGTATCAGGTGCACTCTATAAAACACTGAATGCAAAAGAAATACAAAAAGAGGGCGCACCGGTCTAGTGCATTATTGTAACCAACTTTAACGTGTTTTGAGGACTCGGCCTCTTCCTCAGAGCCAACCCAAGATGCTGAGTCCTCGAAATGCGTTACCCAGTTGGTTATCCAGGTTCCATTGCTGTGGACTCAGATGCTATATGGATTGAACACCGATGTTTATTGTGCTGCGCCTGTGTTTTATATGTCCCTTGTGAGTATGATACCTACTTTTTATTCTTTCATTAAATATTTTTTTCGATAATGCACTAGGCCGGTGCACCTTCTTTTTGTTTTTCTTTTGCATTCAGTGACTTTGGACTACCTCGGTCCATTGAGGGCAGCAAAGAGTGCATATTCCAGGACATTTATATTGTCACCCTAGCCTCTGCTGAGTCCATCCCCAGCGCAGGAGTACAGAATTTGCTGTGT